GCCGGCTTTGAGGAAAGTGTCCTTGTGCCTGGCTGTGCCTGAGCCCTTCTTGGGGTGCTGGGATACTTGCTTCTGTTCGCAGATGGCACCAAAAATCCGTACAGGGTAGTAGCAAGAAATGCTGCCTGGGCTTGTTAAGTAGTAGAAATAATAATAATAATAATAATAATAATGATAACAATGATAACAATGATGATGATGATGATAGAACAAGAGCTGGGAAGGGTGGCACACACCTGTAGTTCTAACTGCTTGAGAGGCAGAGACAGACAGGCTTCAGCCAGGAGTACTAGGCCAGCCTGAGCAACATAGCGAGAGCCTATCTCCAAATAATAATAATAATGATACACTGGGCATAGTAGCCCATGCCCATAATCCCAGCAGACAGGAGGCTGAGGCAGGAGGGTTGCATCAAGTTCAAGGCATCCTGGGCTACATAGTGAGTTCAAGGACAGCCTGAGTTACATAGTGAGACCCTGTCTCAAACCATCTCCCCCCAAAAAACATAACTCATCTTAATTCTTTTCATTTTCCCTTCCCTCCCCTCAATTTAATTTTTATAGACAGGTGTTTACTATTTACAACATTCATACATATTGCCCACCTGTGAACAGAAAAATAATCCCCCTGTGTGAGCTCTACAGAAAGTCTCCAGTACAAGTGGGTGGTGCACAACTGTAATCCCAGCCCTCTGGGAGGCTGAGGCAGGAGAACCCTAAATTCGAGCCCAGCCTGAGCAACTTAGTGACTTGGGGAGAACTTGTCTCAAAATAAAAAATAAAAAAAGACTGAGGCTATAGCTCAACGTGAAGGTCCTGGGTTCAATCCGTAATACCGAAGAAAAACATCTGCAGGCAGATCTTGTTAGTTTTTTATTTCTAAAAGAAATAGAGAAGGGAAGAAAAACTTTTTTTTTTGTTTTGAGAAGGGAAGAAAAACTTTGAATGCCATGGAAGGAGGCCAAGGCAGAGACAGAGCGGGCAGGCCTGGCACTGAGAGGCCACGTCGTCATCTTTGTCCTCATGATAGCTGAGAAGCCGAGAGCACTGCTAAGTGGAGCGGCTCCTGGTGCAGGCTTCCTCGCCAGCAAGGGGCCTTTTGAAGAATTCTGTCCTCTTGAGCCTTCTCAGCAGGTGTGGGCCGGTTTTGAACTGTATACTACAGAATTAGGGCGCACTTGCCCTGTTTTTGGAAGCATTTTGTGCAAAGAATTTCTTTAGGTTTCTAAGAAAATCTGTTAACAAACGGGTCACTCTTCAGCTCCCTCTCCACAGCTCATCTCCTGGGCTAAGGAGGTCAACAGTCTACCTGGGTCACAATGTCCCTGAATCCCTGGACTGGGGCCTCCATGATCCAGATGCCCACTATGAGCCCAAAGGGGCTCTGCACAAGAGGAGGAGAAAGAAGAGTGCTTTGGCACCAGCATGGAGCTCTCTTCTGACCCTGACGGGCCATGTGCAGTATTTCCATCTCAAGGCCACGTTAGCTGGAAGCAGGCTTGGTGGCTTCTGTGGCCTTTGACTCTAGTTCCACCACCACATCTTGCCCTCGCAGTGCACAGTGAGAACAGCAGAGGAGAGATGAAAACTTGTGATGTTAAAACATAGCATCTTTGGGCTGGGGATGTAGTTCAGTGGTTCCGCCACCTTCCTCGCAAGTGCAAGGACCTGAGTTTGATCCCCAGTACCAAAAAAAAAAAGATAGCATCTTTGTCCAAAACTGGGGAGACACCCCTTCATTCCAGGCCTGTTCCAGGTTCCTTGGCTTTCTAGGGAGAGGAGACCCTTCCTGCCAAGCTTGGTGGACTTCAGGGCCCCTCCAAATATTCCAGTCTGAAGGGAGAAGAGAAAGCTTCAAATCAAAAGACAGGGATTTGTAAGGAGGGGGCGCCCAAGAATGGACTCTCTTTTGAATATCTGAGCACATCACATTGGAGGCACCCAAGAATATCCCTGGAAAGCTGGGTGTGAAGGCGCACACCTGTAATCTCAGCAGTCTGAGAGGCTGAGGCAAGAGAATTTCTAGTTTGAGCCCAGCTTGGGCAATTTAGTGACTTAGTGAGACCCTGTCTCAAAATTTCATTCCCCAGTTAAAAAAAAAAAATGCCTCCAAGACAGGAATGAGAGAAGCCATGAGAAAGCCTTTAGCATATGTTGAATGATTTCGGAGTAAGCAAGTGAGTGAATACTTTTTCTGGATTTCCTCTCAAAAACATTTTATTCAGAAAACACAAAAAATAAAAATAAAAATAAAACACAAATATATATGCACCAAATACAAATGCCCCCAACTATACAAAACAAATATTAATGGACATGAAAAACCAAATAAGCACTAATACAATTGTAGTGGGGGACCTCAATACCCCACTATCACAAATAGACAGATAAAACAAACAAACAAACATTTTATTCAGAATTGTCTCCAAGAAAGTCTTAACATCATTTCAGAGAAAAAGATAGTGTGAGGATTCTTTTAAACTCAAGGAAAGGTAAGAGTCTCACCAGGCAAAAGGATCTATTTTGGTTGTTTTGTATCATTTGAAAATGTTTGTATTGCCAGAACCACACAGTTTGAAGATTTTAAAAAGAGATACTTGTACTTACTTAGTCATATCATTAGGAAGTGAGACTCTGGATTCGTGCCTGAGCCCAGGATAAGCATGTAACGACATTCTCCTCGGCATCCTTGATGACAGCACCGCTAATAACAAAAGCACCTAACAGCTGTCAGAGGAGAGGAGGGGATTTTACTACAGGTGTATACACAGCTGGTAACAAGGATTAGGGGAAGTGGTCTAGGTTGTAGATATAATGACTTCAGTTGTGTGAAAGAAAAGAAGCCAGGCGTGGTGGTGCACTGTTGTAATCCTCACACTGTAGGAGGCTGAGTCAGTAGTATCACAAGATCAAGCCCAGCCTGGGCAATTTACAGACTTAAGAGAGATAATATTGGGCTGGGGATTTAGCTCAGTGGTACCATGCCTGTCTTGCAAGCGCAAGTTCCTGAGTTCAATCCCTGGTACCAAAAAAAGAGAGATAATATCTCAGAATTAAAGTGGGAGGTTGGAGATATAGCTCAGTGCAAATGCCCTGGGTTCAATCCCTAGTGCTGGAAAAGGAGGGAGTGAAAAGGGAAGGAAGGAAGGAAGGGCGGGCAGGAGGGAGGGAAGAAGGAAAGAGAGAAGGAAGAGAATTTTTTTTAATATGCTTGTAAATGCTTAGTAAAGTTCTAGGTAACTAGAATTTGGGGGCATTCTCATCATGCAGTTGGCTCATACTGATTTTTGGTTTGTTTTTTTTGGTACCTGGGATCGAACTTGGGTCCTTGTACTTGCGCAGCAGGCAGAGAAACCACTGAGCTAAATCCCCGGCCCAATTTAGGGTTTTTTGTTTGTTTGTTTCATTTTTTGGTATTGGGGATCGAACTCGGGACCTTATGCTTGCAAAGCAGGCGGCGGAACCACTGAGCTAAATCCCCGGCCCAATTTAGGGTTTTTTGTTTGTTTGTTTCATTTTTTGGTATTGGGGATCGAACTCGGGACCTTATGCTTGCAAAGCAGGCGGCGGAACCACTGAGCTAAATCCCCGGCCCCTTAGTAAAGTTCTAAAAGAGTACCCATGAAACAAGGGGATATTAATTTTCTACTTTTGTCTTTTTGAACTGTTGGAATGTCTTACTATGAGCATATTATTAAATATAATTTTTTAAAAGTCATTAAATCTGTACCCTGATCACTGAAGTATCCCTACTAAGCATCCATCTGGCCATCCTTGAATACTTCCTCTGACAGAGAACTCACTACCTCTTAACTACCAGACTGTGCCTTCGAGTCAGACCCTAGGTGAGTGGTTCCTATTCAGAAATGAGCAGAGCACACAGAGGGCCAGATTGATCAATCCCAGTGGTGGTGAACCTATGGCACAGGTGCCGCAGTGGGTTGTTCGCATCATTGGGAGCTCCAGGATAGTCACCATCACTGATCCGTCCTATCTTTAGGGTTCTGGAGCTGGATGGGATGCAAGTTTGACAGATAGTCGTTGGTGTTGTTTTCAGTTTAAAAATTACTTTTTTTTTTAATACCGGGCATCGAACTCGGGACCTTGAGCTTGCAAGGCAGGCAGCGGCACCACTGAGCTAAATCCTCAGCCTTAAAAATTACTTTAAAAATGTGAACAGAAACTGGAGAGTTGTGTCCTTTGTCGAGAGCCTTTAGCCTCCCAGAGAGGGCTGGGAGCGAGGCTTAGTGGGATAGCACTTGCTTTGCATGTGGGAACCCCTGGGTTCCATCCCCAGCTCAGGAAAATGAGGCACAGGAAACTGGAAGAAGACAGTAAAAGTTTTTTAGGAAGCCTTTTAAGGAGTATGTTATGTATACTCATACGTAACAAAAGAGACTTTTTTGAGGAACCTGATATCTAGATTGGGCTGGGGAGCACATGAATCCAATCACTGTCGTAGACTGAGAAATGGACATTAAGTACTGGCTGGACCCCAGAACCATCCTAGGAGTAGGAGGGGGTGGTGGGGGATGGAAAGGAAACGAATAGACTTGAGAACTCATAGGGACAGTGACCGTGATCAGGCCTGGCAGGGTAGGTGGAAGGTATTGGGGAAACTGTGTCCTTTTCCCCTTCCCCTTCCTTCCCTTCTCTCCCCTCCCCTCCTTCCCCTCCCCTCCCCTGCCCTTCTTTCTTTCTTTATTGTAATGCACCCAGGGCCTCATGCATGCTAAGTGAACACCCTACCGCTGAGCTATTTTCCTAGTCCCCTCTTTCCTCTTTAAGGATGATTCCCAAGGGAGAATGAAGTCCTCATAGCATGTCCTTGGGGCATGCTGCAGATTCGTGGTCACCATCTCGGGGACTCACCCACAGCAGCCCTACACACCTGTGCTATAGGTGAACATTTCACAAAGACCCCAGCCACAGAGAGATCCACAAACCAACAGGGTTTTGACTCCTTGTACCATATAGAACACAGAAGCTAAAGACAGAGACTGTTTGTCATATGCTTTATATTTATTTTATTATTTTTAAGATACATTTTTATTTATATATCAAAAGTAAAAATGTAAATAGTTTGGCACAATTTCAAGAACGTTTGACCCCCCCACATTTAGGGACCCCTACAAGTGCTGCAGGTGGCTGTCATTGTCCAGTGCATCATGAGAAAAGAAAAGAAAAAAACCAAACCAAAAAACAGATGAGGATTTTTCAGTGGAGAACATGGTGGGATGATTAGACTTCTATTAGGTTACATTCATTTCACATCCACATGTAATTCTTCAATAAATTGGCCTTCCTGCCTACCCCCAGCTAGGAGGGTTTCAGAAAGATTATCTAACAAGGTGCTCAAGTCCATGCTGGCTGTCTCTGTCATCCCCCTCACGTGTCCACTGCTCCCACACAGCAGCCGGAAATGACACATTGAAGTGACTCACCACTGCGGCTGTGAGTCACCCTGTAATTGGGGAAAGTTCTGTCCTGGTAGGTCATGCAGCCCCTTGCATTTCTGTTCTAAATATATTGGAAAAATTTGAAACCACTGTGTCCTCACTCAAGTCTCTGTCATGTCACCCACCCCATCCTTTTGATCCCTAGTGTGGGGTATGGCTGGGTCACCTTGGTGGGGGCCCTTGGCCATCAAGTGGAAAGAGGAGGCGCAGGACCGAGGCAGCCACCAGGTGGCAGTGTGGGGCCCGTCACGTCTGCACCCAGAGGGGTGGAGGCTGGAGAGCCAAACTCCTGAGATGCGATGGCAACAAATCACAAAAGAACACCATGCACAAGCTTAAAGAATACTTTTCCCTTAATAATCATCTTTCTCTGTAACAAGCACACAAAGGCAAGTATGTGGTAAATATTCAAGCACACCCCTGACATCCACTCTCCCCACCAGGAGACTGGGTGCAGGTGAAGAGCCAGGGACACATCTGACCTTTCTTCTTCTATTCCTGCAAAAATCAAGTTTGTGGGAAGCAAAAACCTGCTTCTTTGAGTAAACAATCACCTACACTCCAGAATGATATCTGCACACTGTTTCTGGGGAAGGAGGGTTGGCATTTGCTTTGCCAGTCTGAAGCCCCTCTGAGAGGGGGCAGTGGTCAGTGTCGGGATGGACATTGAGATGAAAGAGCTTTCCTTCTTCGGCCTTTCACCAGCCGCCACCTCAGCGGCAGACAGGGCAGGGATGACAGCAGCGTGACTGGAACACAAATCGTCCCTACCAATCATGCACAAGCTCCTGCAAGCCTCACGGTTCTGGTCTGCCAGGGCCTTGGGGGCAACCAGATCTGAAGACCCAAATCGCAGAGAGGTGGGCAGATGCATTTGGTCCGCAGTTCTGCAGGTCCTACAGCCTGGGCTGAAGACCTTCATGCTCCAGGGGTCTCCCCTGGGGGTTCCCAGCCAGAGTCAGACTCCGGGTCCTCCCACAGAGGCTAAGGTCTACGAGGCTGATTGGAAAGATTTACCACGGAGGGAAAAAGGCAAATGTCTTCTCTTTCTCTGAAAAGTCATTAGAACAAAATTTCTTCTCCAATCCATCTCCAGTTTTGTCCCAGGTGCAAGTTTCTATTCTCATAGTCAGGGCTCCATCACTTGGCCCATGAAAATAACTGTCCCTGTGAATGGAAGAATTATGAGAAGTGAGAATGGGAAGTACGATGTTTATGGGTGAACAGATCCAAGAAGATGGGTGGCTGTCCGAAGTCACAGCTGTTCAGTGAGTAAGTTAGGACTGTAGTGCTTCGTGTGTGACGATAGCTGGCCACCTTCTGTGAGGACAGGAGAGGGACCCAGTTCCTGAGTCTTTGCCCAGAGTCCTTGGGGACTTGAGGGGCATTTACAACTGTTTGTGCCTGAGACAGCACTGGTGGGGGACAGAGGGTGGGGTTCTGGGCTTACCTGTGGGATTGTGCCGGACCACAAAGAGGAAGGGTCGGTCCAAGATGATCTCCTCGGGGGCCATGCGGGCTGAGGTGACAATGGCTGGAAGAGAAAGGACAAAGTCTTAGGAGAGAGGGACATCAGCACCAGTGCCTGGATTGATCCCAAGAAACCCCATGACACCAACCTCCCATCTGACAACAATGTTAGGACACAATTTTTAGCCAGGCATTTTTTTTTGCGGGGGGGGGGTATCGGGGATCAAACTCAGGACCTTGCTCTTTCGAGGCAGGCGGCAGAACCACTGAGCTAAATCCCTGGCTGTATTCATTTTTATTTTAAGGCGGGGTCTTGCTAAATTGCCCAGGCTGGATTTAAACTTGAGATCCTCCTGCCTCAGCCTCCCAGAGTGCTGGGATTACAGGTGTGCACCACCATGCTTGGGCTTTTCGAATTTAGGAGCCATAGGTGAGGGGGCAGAGTTCTAGGGAAAGCATGTCCATCTTCCAGGCTGAGAAACAGGTGACAGAGGCGGCACTTCCTGTCCTCACAGGTAGTATGCTTGGGAGAGAGGCTGGGGCAGAACAGGGTAGCAGGGGTCCGCTCTGGGACTGGGGGCTGGTTCTCCTGCAGGGCCATGGACGGGCCAGTTGTTGGCCTCTCCTGGAAGCCTTGGGCTGAGGCTGGGGCAGCTTCAATGAGCAGGACTCACCTGTGGAGGAGGACGCCACCGAGCCGTTCTCGTTCACCTCAATCTTCACCTTCTGCAGTGCCTGAGATACGTACAGAAGCTCTTGATCTGAAACAGAGGGGAGATGCAAGGGTGGATCAGTCCTGCCTCTTGGGGAGCCTCCTTGGTCTTCTTGGGGGCCCCATAGAGACCGTCTCGCACCTGAAAGCCGTGTGAAGTCCGCCTGGCCCGTCCTGAACATGTCGGTCATCCCCATATCCTCCAGGGGCTTCCTCAGGTCCACTTCTGACTCCAGGGAGAACCTGTTGGCAGCAGGAGACAGCTCAAGGTCAGCTCTCCCATGCTGCGGCACCTGTACTGAGCTGGGCTCCACCTGGGTTCCCGGGGACAGATCCATAGGGAGGGAACTGATGCGGTCGAGGAAGAGGGAGGTCTATTTGCAAAGTCTCTTCTTGCTGCAAGTTGCTAATACTAATGAGTATTCTTCAATCTCTCCACCTGCCTCAAACCTGTGACTAGTTACTCTTCTCACATAAGGTAGGGCAAATTCTTCTGCAAGGATGTTTGAACAAAAATCTGTAGATTGTGTTTCTTTTTTTTTTCAAGACAAGATCTTACTATCCAGGCCGGCCTCAAACTCACAGCCATCCTCCTGCCTCAGCCTCCCAAGTGCTGGGATTATAGGCATGCACCACCAAACCCAGGTATAAATTTGTGTTTCTGAGTGCTAACCCCGAAGAGGACTCCAGCGGTGAAGCTTTGGGGGGCTCTCTGCTCCCCACAAGGGCACACGTAATTATCTCATTCTTGTGAGAGAGGGAATCTGAGCAGCCAGTTAAGCAATGAAATTCTCCTCTTTCCCCAAGCCTGGCATTATAGCATGTGGAAGTCTGAGGTAAGCCTGGCGGGACATCCCTGCGATTACCCAGCCACAGCCTTCTCCACCCGCTTTGCTTGTGCAGAAGGATTGAAAAAAATCTGCTCTTTGAAACTCCAGCCAGAGGCTGTAGTCTGGGCTGTCCCATCCCAGAAGTGATTTCTTTTGTTCCACTGTTTAGATGTTGGTTCCAGGAGATGGGTGTGGAAACACAGAACATTCAGAAATGGCTGTAAGCCAAATCAGCCGCCTCCCTTTGCATCATTTCAGCAGCTCCCCTGTGGCTGGCGCTTGCTGGGTATTCTGGGAATGGTTGGTACGGGGACATTTTCTAGAGAATCTTTCCCCTGCCCTTGGTCGGAAACAGGTTGGGGATGATGCAGTGATAATCAAACCCAGGCTGGCATTTCCCATCAGCCTCCCACACATGTCCCTCCTACAGGAGTCACAGATCTGTGAAACTCAACAAGGGGACAGCAATTTCAGGTAACCAGGAGACGGGAAGGGGGGAGGGCAGAATGGGGGCACTGGCAGGATGATGGCACAACCTCAGGTGGCTTACTTGGGCAGCACCAGCAGGCGAGTCAGTCTGGTCATGTTGCCTTTCCACTGCCTGATGAGCTCGGCATCAAGAATGTTGGTGATGGCAGAGAGAGACACCTTTTTTTTGTAGGGAGCGGCAATAAACATGCTGAGGGTCTCCCCATGGTAGGGCAACTCCACTATGTCGTAGTATTCACCATCAGGAGTGAGGAACTCAGCTGTGAAGAAACCAAGATAGCTCCTGGGAAATGGCTCCCATTGTTGTGGCTTCTAACTCAGCACTGGTTGTTTGGTTGTTTGTTTGTTTGGTACCAGGGATTGAACTCTGGACCTTGTGCTTGTGAGGCAGGCGGTGGAACCACTGAGCTAAATCCCTGACCCCAGCACTGTTTATTTTTTTAACTAGTGCTTGTCTTCACTCTTTCTGGAAGCCAAGCTCTCCATTCTGGCCTTTGAAACTCCCCCACCACTTTCCCATTCCAATGTCAAAGGTTTACAGTGATTTTGTTTTTGCAGTGCTGTGGATTGAATTCAGGACCATTCTAGGTAAGTGCTCTACCACTGAGCTACATCCCCAGCGCCTATTCAATGTTTTTATCCCATTTCCCTTCTCTTTTGCCAGCTCAGTGTCTCCTCCTCCTCCTCCTTCCTCTCTCTGTCTCTGCCTCTCTCTCTAGGTTTTCTTTTTTTTTGGTACCAGGGATTGAACTCGGGTCCTTGGGCTTGTGAGGCAAGCGTCGAAACCACTGAGCTAAATCCCCGGCCCTTAGGTTTTCTTGACCCTTAACTCCCTTCCCCTACATCAATTCTTTACAATCCTGATCCCCTTAAATCTGATCTTCCATGTAGCCCTTCCCCAGCAGGACTTTTTGGCCCCAGATAATCACACTAGAAGCCATGAAGATGAGACATGGGCAAGCAGTCACTCTGGTGTGGGCTGAGGGAATTTCTGGATTTCAGCCTCATTTGGCAGGAGAGACAGCTCCTTTCTTCTGCTCTTATTACCCCATGGTCTCCCATCCGGGAAAACTTTGTCGGCACCAGGGTGTGTTGGAGGGTCAGAGGGGAACCCCGCACTGTGGTCTTCTCTCAAAGGGGGACATTGGAGATCCCTGGGGACACCCGGGGATGAGGCGGTCTTGTGAGAAGGGGAAAGGAGGTCTTGTACTCACTGTAGTTGAACTTGCTGGTCTGCTCCATCATGGCCACGGAAATGGTGCTGCCATCCAGCTTGTGGAAGAGGCGAGACCGGGTTGTGGCTTCTGGGAAGGGTGACTTCCACTGGCCATTGAAGTAGAGGGCGTTCACCAGCACTAGGCGCGTCAGCTGGTCCACAGCCCCTTCGCCAAGCAAGTCACTGATCATGCCTAGAGGAAACCCAGGGGTCAGGAAGGGAGGTGCTTTGCAAGCCTCTCAGATGGCTCTCTTTGGCTCCCAGCCCTCAAGTGGGTGTGTATTGACGGGAGCCAGGGGGCAGACAGGGATTGACTGATTTCCTTAGTACTGAGGATTGAACTTAGGGCCTTTGCACCAAGCTACATCCCCAACCCTTTTTCGATATTTAATTGGGCCTTGCTAAGTTCCCCAGGCTGGGCTTCAACTTGTGATCCTCCTGCCTCAGCCTCCCAGAGTGCTGAAAGTATAGGAGTGCTACACCATGCCCAGCTTGAACAGGGTTTTAAATAGACCAACATAGCTGCTTTCTGTTTGTTCCATCTTTCTAAGAGTCTCAGACACAGCACTCTTTTGGCCATGGGATCCTGTCCAGGTGGGGATGGAGCCCAGGGCCTTTCACACTGAACTATATTCCCCGTTGTTTTTTTTTTTGAGATAGGGTTTTGCTAAGTCACTAAGTTGCCCAAGTTGTCTTGAGGGCTTGTCCATGTTTGGGTTACTACTGTCCTTAATTATCTTATTACACATTTTTGTTTGTTTGCTTGTTTTGGTACCGGGGATCGAACTCGGGTCCTTGTGCTTGGGCAGCAGGTGGCGAAACCACTGAGCTAAATCCTCAGCCCTCTTATTACACTTTTTAGGGATGCCTTTCAAATTGGTTCATGAGAAAGCCTAATTAAGAAAAATATTAGTAAGATGCTTTAAAAATTTGGGTTTTTTTGGTACTGGGGATCAAACTCGGGTCCTTGCACTTGCACAGCAGGCGGCGAAACCACTGAGCTAAATCCCCGGCCCCCAAAATTTGTTTTGTTTTGTTTGAGACGGGGTCTCACCTTGTAGTTCAGTCTGGCCTTGAACTCACTATAGAGCCCAGGCTGGCCTTGAACTAACAGCAGTCCTCCTGCCTCAGCCTCCCAAGTGCTGGGATTACGGGTGTGCACAATTATGCCCGGCTCAGTACAATGGTTCTTTTTGTTTTTGTTTTTGTTACTGGGGGTGGAAACCAGGGCCTCTACAGTGAGCTACATCCCCAGCTCCTTTTTACTTTTTATTTTGAGACAGGATATTGTTATTTCACTAAATTGCTTAGGCTGGGCTGAAACTTTTGGTCTTCCAGCCTCAGCCTCCCAGAGTGGTGGGATTATAGGCCTGCACTGTCACACCCAACTAAATGCTTTGGTTTTTAAAGCCCTTGGCCTTCTGCCCATGGGGAAGAGAAGGCTGAAAGGGAGGGTTCAGGCCATGTGGGTTGTTTCAGAATCCCCTCTGTCTGTGCCCTGGGGACCTCCCCCAACCTGCTCACCTTTCGTGTGTGTCTTCACCCAGTCGTTGATAATGAACCTGGCTCTCTCCACCTCGGTGAAGTCTACCTGCTTGACTGTGGTCCTGAAGAGCCTGAAGAAGTGGGGCATGAAGCCCTTGACCAGCTTCAAGTCCCTCTGGACGAAGATGGCATCGGTGATGCTGACCTCATCTTTGTTCCACGGTCCCATAAGCTCCTTGTACATTAGACGGTGACCATGGGCCACGTCCCTCCCTGTGCCAAGCAAGAAAGACAGGGCCATCAGGCTCACGCCGAACCTCCATCTCTTTCTGCATCTCCTTCCTTTCCTCCCAAGTCTCAGGTCCTAATCTTCTTTGGGTTAGAATGTTTTTCTCTGTTCTTATTATTCGTAGTCTTTTTTTGAGATGGGGTCTCAATATGCAGTTCAGCCTGGCCTCAGACTTGAAGCCATCCTCCTGCCTCAGCCTCCTGAGTACTGAGATTACAGGCATGCACCACCATGGCCAGCTTGTTCTTAAATCGTGAACCCTAAACTTCTTATAATAATGGCTGTGCTGATCATTTCACATGCACAGTTCCATTCAGTACTCACACAGCTTTATGTCACAGGCATTTTTACCATGCCCATTCTGCAGCTGAAGAAACTGAGGTTTAGTAGAGTTAAGGGCCACAGTTAATAAAATAAGTGGCAAATGCACTGGGCTGTACACCCTGGCAGATCAAGGATGTGGTGGGGGAAGACAGGCTGTCCTTGCAGCTGTGAAAATGTCCACCTGGCTAGGCTGGGCCCAGCCTCTCCCCAGCTCCTGGAGACTGCCTGACTCCCTGCCTCCCTCTCTGCCCTGACTCTCACCATCGATGTTGAATCCCATTGCTGCTTCAATCTGCTGCCTGGTTTTTCCGCCCGTTGTCGCCTGCAGCATGGCCAGTACCGAGGCCACCCCAAAGGGTGAGAAAACCACGTTGCTGTCCTTGGAGGTCTGCACTACCTGCCGGAACACCTTCACTCCAAAGTCTGTGGCCAGGTGGGCCACCTGCGACTCATGAGGGTGCAAGGTGGCCCCTTTCTCAAAGACGAGGGCCAGGCCCAGGGTGAGGCAGGCAAGCATCAGAGACATCTGCATCCTAGGATGAATGGAAGAGGATCTCGTGAGAGAGTTCTGGAAGACTACTGAGTGAGAGAGGGCGCCCCGGCTTGCTGCTGGCGGGTGATACATGAACAGGTTCTAAGAGATCTCGCTGGGACGGGATGCTGAGCCCTTCCCACCCTACTTCCAGCTGATGCTATCTCAGTCCGGCCCAGGGAGTCAGCAGCCCATTTTTCCCTGTAGGAATCTTGGAAGAGCACCCAGGTGTATCCCCTCCAGGGGACTGGAATGCTGTTCTGTACTGCACAGTGCTTTTCAGTTCTCTCACCACACACCCCCAACTACGCTTTGCTCAAGCGAGCAGCAGAGAGCCCTTCTGCTGAGGTGGAGAAGCAGGGGGTGTGTCTTGCTGGAAAGGGACGGAGAGAGCTGAGGTCCTCATTCTGGGTGGTGGGCTGCTGGCAGGGCCTGACCACCCTCCCAGCTCCAGTGTGGCACAACTACTACAGATCAAGGCTTCAGGGTTCCAGGGAAAGAAAACAGAGAGAAAGTGAGGATCTGGATGGAGGAGACTCTGGGATGAGAAGTTCTGCGCTGCAAGCTCCAGAAGGAGGAGTTTGCTGGTCTTACCTGATGTCCTCGAAGGTGCCTGTGACTGGCGGCGTGTCCTGCTTGGCAGCAGTGAGCCTTGGCTCTGGGCTGCTGGCGGAGGGGGTGTGGCTCTCCTAGACAGCAGAGCACTGCTGTGTCCCTCCCAGACTGCCGCCTCCCTTTATACCAGATGTGAGCAGGAAACAGATGAATTCATGCTCTGCCCCTCCCACTTTCTGGCTCTGGAAGCCCGGCCACCTCTGCACTTCCCTCTCCTGGACTTGTTGGGGTGTGTATGCGTGTGTGCTCGTGCCTCCCTGCTAGTGTGCATGTGCGAGGGCTCAGGAACAACTGGGCAAGCCTTGGTTGCCTTGGCCCAGTGGCCTCCTTTGATTTGAACACCCTCTGCCTGTGCCCTGAGTCTTAGGATGTTCTGCCAATGTGACTTCTGGCAGCACCCAATGGCCCACGGTGCCTGGTATTCAGAATTGCTTTTCCTGGGGCTCAGCTTGGGGGAAAACAGTTCATGTCCTCCTTTCTTCCTTTGGAAAAATAGGAAACTGGAGTTATCAGAGATGTTAACAATCCGGCAGGGCTTTTCTCCAGTGCTGCTGTCCTGAGCCCCAAGTATCCTCCTGGAAAATACGTCCCTCCCCACTCTGTGTCTCAGCCTGGTGGCCAGCGGGGCATGCAGTGTGCCCTGTGACCATCTGGGCTCTGACTGTCTTGGGCTCAGCCAGACCAAGGACTCCAGGTCCTTTCATGCCTGCCTTGTGCCCGCCGTGCCGCGATGATGCATGGCTGACTCCCCACGTGCCCAGACTCTCCATGCCCCCGAGGGCTCGCCTTGTGTCAACAGCCTTGTCTGGCTGGCTGGGGTTTGAGGCGTGCTGGGTGGGGGCGGAGGTGGCTGAAAGGGACCGGGATCACCATGGGACAGCCTGGGCAGAGAATTAGGAGCAAAGCAGGTTAAATTTGTTCCTTTGATCTGTGTAAGGTGGCTGGGGAGGGCTTCTCCCTTATCCTCCTTCCCCCGGCGCAGACACGGGTGGCTAGGGCCATGGGAGGAGGGTGGGAGGAAGTAGTGTCAATTCGTGGTGCATTTTAGGGCTTTGGGGTTAGGGGAGGAAGAGTGTCCAGTGAGTTCTTCCAAGGGTAGATATTCAGGGCTTCACAGGGTCAGGTACCACGGCCATGGGGCCTGGATATTGCAGTGGACAGGTAGCTGGGGTGTTCTTCAGGGGGGAAGATGGTACACTTGGCCTTGGGGTACGTACACTGTCATGCTTTGTGTAAGTGATGGGATCCTATGCCAGGCAGTTTCCATAGAAACAGCTAATAACAGAGTCATGGGAAGCTTCAGTGGGTGGGTGGTAGTGTAGGGATATTGTTTTGGATTTTTCAGTAAATAGCTACCAAGGACAACCACGGAGCAGCTGAGCGGAGTTCCCAGCAGGTAGGGGTGTCAGGAAAGCAGGGTAACTTGTCGGAAAGTTGGGATCACAGGCATGTTAAAGGAAAAATGGTTCCTCTTGTTTACGTCTCCTTGCTTTTCCCAGCTGTGGTTTGGAAGCTGAGAGGTGGTTAGTGACAAGGAAGAGGCAGCTGCCCTGATCTCTCCAAGGCAGAAGACACAAGTAGGAACTCCCAGAAGTGTCCCGTGTGCCTTCACCTCCATCCTTAGGGCTCAGAGGGGCATCTGAGAGTCTGGGCTGGGAGTGCCAAGCCCCAAGGTTTCAGACGAGCAGCGGGTGTAGCCGCAGCTAGGATCAGCCCCTCCAGGAGCCCGCCCTGACACCTCCAGCTACATTAGCTGACCCCTCCTTTGCTCTGTCTCTCAGCCCTACACCTGTTCAGGCCTCCACCACATAGGTCCCTGCTGCTTTCGGAGGAGGCCTGGGGCCTGGCCAGGGAAAGACCAATTCCACCCCCACTCACAGACCCAGTGCCATGTGCCACTCCAAGAAGCCGCTCTGAGCTGGGGCACAGGTATAGGGTTGCAGCTCTATGTCCTGGTCGCTGCTGGGGACATTCCTTTGGAAACATAAAGTGTTGACTTATGAAGGGGACTTCTCCCAAATTGGAAGGAACCTGTTGGCAGCTGGCAAGTGGTTATTCGGGACTGAGGCAAAACACAACAGGACGGGGTCCTGTGTTCAATGTCTGACTTTTCCTTTGACTCTGGTGAGTTGGGGCTGCCAATGGTCGAGAAGCCAGACTTGACCATGGTCCCTGCTGCTCCTGTCCACATCTTATCCTCCCTTGGAGATGGAGACGTGCTGGGCTGTCACACCGGATGCAGCTTCCGGCAGGCTCCCAGGGGTCACTCCTCCAAAGACCTCCCTGGAACACTCTTCTCAGAATCTAGCCTGACTCACGGGGTTGTCACTTTGCCTTTTCCCCCTGCACCCCAAACAGCTTTGACCCAATCCCTTCCGTCAAGCTTTGGCTGTGGTAAGGGATCAGATGGACAGAGAGAGAGAGAGAGAGAGAGAGAAAGTCCTTGCTTTCGAAATAACTGGGTCTCTGATTTCCGGAGGGTCAGAGATAAGAGGATGAGTTGCAGGCTGTGGATTTCTGGGGAAGTTCAAGCTCGTTCTAGCTGGGAAAGATGTCTCCATCTGCCCCTTCCCAGGTGGTTCGTGACTGGCCCGGATGCACATTTTCCATGACTGTCCCTCTCCCCACCCCCCTCCCTCATGTAGGCACTGGGGCCCGGAGCCACAGTCCTCCTGAAACCCCGACACTTTGTCACCATCGGCACCATTTGGACTGTTTGCCCTCTTGCCTTTTGCCCGCTCTCTGCTCTTCCTCTTCGCTCTTGCTTTCTCTGTGAGCCTTTAGCTCTGTACTCTCTTTTTCACTTTCCTTTGTCCCTTAGAGACTTCCTCTTCCTGGTCTCCCTTTCTTTTCTGCCGGTCTCTTCTTCTCTCCTACAAGAGATCTCTCCCCATTCCTCCACTCCCTCTTTTCCACTCTCTGACTCAATCCCTTTTTTCCTGTCCTCAGCTTTCCAGAATCCCTTTTACAGGCAAAGGCTCTGCTCCTGGAGCCCTTCCTGTGGGAAGAGAGCATGTGTACCATCAGTTACACAGGCTCCCTGGAATGTTGGCCCTGGCCTGTCGATGCTCAATGCTGGGTGATCTCGCTGAGAAAACTGGGGGTGGGAGGAGGCAAAGTCCTGCTTATTCCCAGGACTATTTCTGGCCTGGTGGCTCTCCAAACAACAAAAGCCCAAAATAGCCTGTGTTTGGGCAGGCTGCTCTGCCCTCTCCAGGAGCAAGTGGGATGAGTGGCCTATGTGTCAGCCTCTGTTCCTCAAGATCATGGCCTGGGATGTGGCAGCCTGGGCCTGTCAGCCTCCTCCTCCTCCTCCTCCTCCTCCTCTGAGTGGCTCCAGGCCTGACTTCCCCTCCTCTGTCTCCCCAGCACCCCAGCCCTCTGCCTCCACAGTGCCGGGTCAGCTTCTCTCCTTAAACCTGCTCTGTCCCCAACAGCCTGTGCTCTCCAATTCTATATATTCCACTTTCAAAAATTAACTTGGGCCAGAGATTTAGCTCAGTGGTTCTGGCTCCTGCCTCGAAAGCTCAAGGTCCTGAGTTTGATCCCCAGTACCAAAAACAACAACAACTCAAAAAGCAAAAATTAACTTTTACTGAGCTTCTATTTCCTTTATTTTCCTTCT